AGCTATAATGTAATTATCTTAATCTTCACTATCGTTACTTTTTGCCCAGCGAAGCGGGTCCTTGCAGCTAGATTCTAGATTACTTAGAAAAACAGTCTTTTATATATATATATAAAAACTATATTACATACAAATAAAAACCCAGCGAAGCGGGTCCTTGTAGCTAGTTGATAATATTAATAATCCAGCACAATCGTTAGAGCTTCATGGAGTTAAAAAGTAACTGTATATTAAAAAATATTACGGGAGTGTGAGACTTAATTGTAATGTAAAAAATAGTTCACATGCTAATTACAAGCTATTAATAGCCGATAAACTTTTTATATTTATTGTGTTCGTATTTACGTTATTTCGAAGTAAAGAAGAGCAGTTTAAAAAATAGTCTAGAGTGTATTGTTTAACATGGATTGTACTAAGCCAAAATTCGATTGTTTCAATAAAAGTTTGCTTCCAAGTTCTTGACAATGCCTTTTATAATATTAATCATCATCGTTACTATCACGAAAGCTGATAAACTATCAATTTTGAAGTAATGCAGCAATTTTTAAGGAATTTTTTGAAAGAGATTTGTTATTTTTAGATTATTATAACAAAGGGTAACTTTATAGATATTCTATTTGTTATAGTGAAAGTTCAAAGTATTTTCTGTAGATCGGATATCATGCAATAGATCTTATTTTCAGAAAAATATAAAGAACTAAAAAGCAAATATGTCTGGTTAGGAAACAGAAAAAAATTCTGTTCGTGATGTTGACAAAAATTGTTAAGATCAACTTTGTGAATGAAATGAATTCAAACAAGTAGACCGAGATGCTGACAATACTTTTACCAAATACTCGTGACTATTTTTCGGATAAGCTTAGAGTATGTTTTCAACAACATTTTGGCACGTTGCCCGGTACAACAAAAATTGGCAAAGTAAAAAATTTTATTCTTCTATGTTCTCTCTTTTTATTCAATACTTTATATACTAAACCTTACTTTACTTTTTTATCATTTTTGTTTTATTTTTATTTTAATGACTGCTATAAACAAAATTAAAACTTACCACTATTATCAGTATTACTATTTTAAAATCTGAATAAAATTTATTTATTTTAAAATTTACCGATTATAGAATTTTTTTCTTGTTAGAAATAAAAAGAATTCGGCTAGAAAATTTCATTATGATTGATTTTCGGGTGTAATTTTAATGTAAAAAAATGCTGGACACAAAATCGAGATAGACAAGATAACTCAAAAGTCAGTTAACCAATCATTAAATAAATAACATGCAGCTGTTATTTATTTGATGGTTTACTTGTTTCTAACGAAGAAACTGAATTGCGAACAAATCAGCATGCAGCTATATCAAACCGGTGTTTACTGTCCTTAAATTAATTTTAAAATAACCTCGGTTAAATGATTTTTGGGCCACACTATACGTATTTTGGTCTGTGTATTTGGTACATATATATCTAATGTATATGTACAGGTCTGTAATGTAAAAACAAAAGTGCTGTTTCTATTTTCCCATTTTTAGTTATAATTTAGAATGGAAAGAACAAAGATAAATTTTTATCTGTAAATGGCTTATATATTTAGAAAAATATATGAAAGACTGCACATGTTGTATATTGAGTTAACAGATATTTATGAGAATTAGGCAAGATAATGTACTGTACATAAATAATAGCTAGTAAAAAGAATGGCGATTTAGTCATTGAAAAAGAATAGATTATATAAAAAAATGTGAATATCAAAGAAAAATATTGATAGTATACGATTATGTACAAGTTAAGTATAAAAAAGTATACCCTATGCGGTATAAATGCATGGACATATTCGCCATGCCAGAATCCTCGCCTTATTAGGAGGTCTCATCTCGCTAGTGAAAGCTACGAGGCAGGAAAGCTTACGGACAGGAAGTCTCGATTAACTATATAAGAACTTCCGGTCCAGACCGGAAGTCACGTTATTTCAATTCAAAAATTTTCTCCTGAACTGAGTTAGATGGATGACAGGCATGACTCCATTGTTAACAGGAAAAGTATGATGTACAGGGGCAAGTCACTACTAAAATTGAGAGCATTGTGATGAAAAATTGCAGCCTAGCATTATGATGATATCACAATAAATAATTGCTCTTTACTAATATTTTTATTTTACACTTGTATTTATAAAATGCTTCTATAAAAATTGGGTCAGAGGCCTAAAAAGTGTTTAAAACGTCCTTGAATATAGCACCGTATGGTATTGTACAGGCTAATTTTTTTCAAAGGACTAAATATGTAGTCTACTACATAGTGACGTACAGTACAGTATATACAAATAATTTGTGCAAAATGTACATGGTTATATTCTGTGTAATTTCTATACAATGCATTTATTCAGACGATAAATATGCAACTGAAAGAATGAATTTATAATCATATATAGGTTATATATATATGTTTGTGTGTACTGTACAATAATACATGTATTTATTATTTGTATGAAAAGTTACATATAATATATTTTAGAAATGTAAATAAATTTAGCATTGTATACATAAAACACCTTATGTTTGTTGTCGTTATAGAATTTCAATAAAGCTAAAACTATCCACACGAAAAGAGAGAAACGTGTATTGCTATTAAACTGAGAGAAACTGTTTTTTTCTTAAGTTCTGTTAACAAAATAATATATAAATGTAAATAAAAATTGTTCAAAAAACTATTTTACAGCTAAAAATATACAGATTTTAGTAAAAGTATTGTTCTGTACTTAAAAAGATATTTGAATGCTTAGAATATATTTACATAATTTTATTTTTACTTTATAACAATAAAAAAATAAATTTCTTTACGTATTTTTAAAAATCGATCGAATGTAAGTGATGTAAGTGACGATGCGTACGTAACTGAATTGTCTAGATAATGTTTTTAGGTCGGAGCTGACTTGCATTACTTTTTCAATATCCTCTCTTAATGTTTCTGTTTTATTTATTTATTTAAATTTCCAAAGAAAAAATTTTTATCTTTTCTCTTTATCATGATAAAGATGTTTATGTTATATAGATGTTATCTTATTTTATTTTATTTTTTGAGGAATATATATGAGAAAATTATTATGCGCATGAAAGAATGTGATGTAAACAAATTGGATTGTACACATGTTCATATTATAAATTTTAATATTGGTTTTATGCTAAGTTGGTTTAATTCGATTATCCATTAAAGTAAGAAGTATAAAAAAAAAGTTTATATCAAGAATTTTAAATTATATTTTTGAGAGAATTTTATTAAATTTAAATTTTTCAACATTTTATCTTTTAGTATTTTGTCATTTTTTGTTTATTTATAAAAATATTACTGTTATTAATTTTTATATAAATTATCTAACAATTTAATTTGAATTTTTTAATTAGAAATTATTAAGTAAAAATAATATTATCTAAAAATTCTATCGAAAAAAGGAGCTAAACTTACAAAAATAGAAATCGATACGTCATTGAAAGGTACTAGAAAATAATTAAACTCGCTCAGAAGGAAAAGTAATTTATGAAAAAAGGGCCTCTGCATGATTAAAGAAAGACGAAACTGTATTAAAAATTATTAGATATTAATAAAAATAAAGAAAAATAATCAAAGGTACGCCTATATTAAAATATGAATTAAAAAAGAAATAAAAACAGCATAAAAATATTAAAATTTTTTTAAAAAAGATCTAAATTTATATCTAAAAAAGTAAAGCTTAAAAAAAAGAATTTCTAAAAGCAGAAATTCCTCTTAGAAGTACGAATTAAACGTGATTAAAATAACAGAATTGCATAAAAAATAAATATTATTTTAGAAAAAAAAAGCGAAAATTACTATAATAAAAGTTTAAACTAAACGTTTAAAAAAAGAAAAGAAAAAATAATCTCACTTCACTGAAGTAAGTTTGCACCGTGTGATCTTGATACATCCTTTTTTGACTTTTACAAACAGAATTAATCAACAGAACGCAGATGATTGCAATAAATAAATTAATCTTCATCCTGAAAGATATTTTAATTAATTCTTAATATATTTAACAATTTAATTAATTAATAATTTGCTCAAATTTAATTAGAATCACGCGCAAAAAATTAATAATAAATTCTTTCTTCACCCCCTTTAACAAACTCATTATTGTTATTGCTAAGTTATATCTGATCTCCCTTATCTAAGGAGAATTGATAGTACAGTAATTAAATTTTTCCAAAATATTGCAATAAGAATTTAAAAGAAGAAGAATTTAATCGGAAAAGAGGATGAGAAGATAACAGATATATTGTAAATATAATTAATTTCTATAATAATATTACTCCAATTTGATCGATAATATTATAATGCCATTAAACATAATATAAAAGATCTGAAAGTATAAAATTAAATATTTATTTAATAGAAATAGCTTTAAATATTTACCTGGCAATAATCGATATAGCAAGTAATTTTCTAGGAACGGCAGGAAGAAAACAAAAAGAAAAAAGAAAGTTGAAGATGTTGATGATAGACGGTCGCAGTTAAAAATCCTTTCAGTACTTGTCACGTGGTTACGTACAACTCATCGCATCTGAGAATATGTAAAGTATACAAATATTTATAAGTGATAAGTAAAAAGACAGTTTATAAAATAACATTTTATCGATTTATATAAAATTTTGGCACGTTTCCACCACTAAAATATATCAATATACGAGAAAATTAATTTTAAAGAAATTCTAAATGTTTTAAAATATCTTACCTTAACATAGAAGATATGATTCTTTTACGAGTTCTTCACGCAAACTGTCTGTGTGTGTAGCTTGGGTTTACGTACTGTGGTTAACGGCGCAGGTGCGTCACTTAACACGTGCTCACCTGCCATACGCTGCCTCAACTTACCTGGATAAAATTAGTATGTGGGACGAAAAACTATACTAATACAATTCTGAACATCTCTTATTGTTTATCACATGTCACTGATGTATAATTGATCATGTATGCTAATTATCTCAGCAAAAATTTTAGAATCATCTATCTAACTGTTCTGGAAAAAAATTTTTGAATTAAAATAACGTGACTTCCGGTCCAAACCGAAAGTTTATATATAATTAATCGGACCTCCGGCTCCTAAGCTTTCCCTTTTGATCTCGACTTTCATCTATCTAACTCCGTTCTTGAAATTAAAGAATATCAGACAGACAGACAGTGGGAATTGGGCCCAATTTTTAAATTGCAGCCCAATCATTTTAGTAACAACGTGTAAATCACGTGACATTTTCTGATTTTTATTAACACTTAAAGTTACGTATATGACTGTATATTAGAAAGATATTTTTTTTTTTATTAGTCATAAGAAGGTATAACGATATAGAGAGGAATATAAAAATTTGTATTACACGAAAATATTCCATTAATGTGTCGAAGAAATTCTTCTTCCAGTCTACAGGATAAACTATTTAAAAATACAGTACATTCTGTATATACAGATTTTCATCTATTGATGTTTATGCAACGAGCGCATGAAGCATTAAACATGACGAATCTTATACATTATCTAATGCATAAAAATCACAGGCTAGTCTTTAATTTTGCGACTTTTTACTAAATTTTATTANATTTCAAATTGTGAAGACCATTTCCCCCCTTCAAAAAATATCTCTATATATGCATTTGTGAACTGTTATTTACGATATTTGTAATAATTTTTGTTTAATCACTTTATTTCAACTTTTTTTTGCTAATTACGTAGTCGCTCGAACTTCGTTAAAACCTTAACTGTATCCCGAACAACAACCGAAGTTGTAGGAAGAAATTCGCGTATTTTACCGATCTAGATATCCCCCTTTTTCCAAATTTTAATATCGACTCAAAATAATTTAAAAACACAAATTACAATAAAACGGTTTATTATCCAACTATCAGAAATTTTACAACGCACCAAGGAAGAGAGGAAGGAGCAATTAAATAATTACAATTATAAAGGATTAAAATATATATATATATAAATGGGGAATATCGCACTTCTGACAATCGCTGCCAGTGTGTGAGCTAAATTTGGAGAATCCGTGCTTCTCGCATGGACAACTGTATGTAGCCGGCTCACGCGTCGAAAAACCTTCTGATTTATTCGTGTACGCACCTGACGGAAAAACAAAAAGTATCGTGTATCCACAAACACTCCAATAAATAAATAGAATTGAAACGACACTTTGAAATGTTTTTCCGATGAAAATGAATAATAATAATAAGTTTCAATAAAAATAATAAAATGTAAATTGAATTTTATCATAACGAGTTTGCTTGAATTTCCTTTCTTCTGAGATCGCAGCAATGCGCGACGGGTAAGCTAGTATATATGTATAAATGGACGTGTATGTCCCTATATGTCCTTATATTTCACTTTCTAGCCAAAACTACACATCGCACATGAATGGTGTTTGTATGTGGTAGTAGCCCCAAGTCTCCATTCGTGCACTATGGTGGTTCGATAGCTATAAGGGTGCGGGAGATATGGGCTTGAAAGTGGTTGACTTCGAAGATGTGTAACAATGGAAGTGTCAACAATGGAAGTGTTAACAATGGAAGTGTTAACAATGGAAGTGTTGAGTAACAAAGGAAGTGTTAATATAAAGCGGCATGCAAGATTTACAGGCGGTTTTTTGCGTTTTTGCGGGTCCTTGCAGCTAGATTCTAGATTACTTAGAAAAACAGTCTTTTATATATATATATAAAAACTATATTACATACAAATAAAAACCCAGCGAAGCGGGTCCTTGTAGCTAGTTGATAATATTAATAATCCAGCACAATCGTTAGAGCTTCATGGAGTTAAAAAGTAACTGTATATTAAAAAATATTACGGGAGTGTGAGACTTAATTGTAATGTAAAAAATAGTTCACATGCTAATTACAAGCTATTAATAGCCGATAAACTTTTTATATTTATTGTGTTCGTATTTACGTTATTTCGAAGTAAAGAAGAGCAGTTTAAAAAATAGTCTAGAGTGTATTGTTTAACATGGATTGTACTAAGCCAAAATTCGATTGTTTCAATAAAAGTTTGCTTCCAAGTTCTTGACAATGCCTTTTATAATATTAATCATCATCGTTACTATCACGAAAGCTGATAAACTATCAATTTTGAAGTAATGCAGCAATTTTTAAGGAATTTTTTGAAAGAGATTTGTTATTTTTAGATTATTATAACAAAGGGTAACTTTATAGATATTCTATTTGTTATAGTGAAAGTTCAAAGTATTTTCTGTAGATCGGATATCATGCAATAGATCTTATTTTCAGAAAAATATAAAGAACTAAAAAGCAAATATGTCTGGTTAGGAAACAGAAAAAAATTCTGTTCGTGATGTTGACAAAAATTGTTAAGATCAACTTTGTGAATGAAATGAATTCAAACAAGTAGACCGAGATGCTGACAATACTTTTACCAAATACTCGTGACTATTTTTCGGATAAGCTTAGAGTATGTTTTCAACAACATTTTGGCACGTTGCCCGGTACAACAAAAATTGGCAAAGTAAAAAATTTTATTCTTCTATGTTCTCTCTTTTTATTCAATACTTTATATACTAAACCTTACTTTACTTTTTTATCATTTTTGTTTTATTTTTATTTTAATGACTGCTATAAACAAAATTAAAACTTACCACTATTATCAGTATTACTATTTTAAAATCTGAATAAAATTTATTTATTTTAAAATTTACCGATTATAGAATTTTTTTCTTGTTAGAAATAAAAAGAATTCGGCTAGAAAATTTCATTATGATTGATTTTCGGGTGTAATTTTAATGTAAAAAAATGCTGGACACAAAATCGAGATAGACAAGATAACTCAAAAGTCAGTTAACCAATCATTAAATAAATAACATGCAGCTGTTATTTATTTGATGGTTTACTTGTTTCTAACGAAGAAACTGAATTGCGAACAAATCAGCATGCAGCTATATCAAACCGGTGTTTACTGTCCTTAAATTAATTTTAAAATAACCTCGGTTAAATGATTTTTGGGCCACACTATACGTATTTTGGTCTGTGTATTTGGTACATATATATCTAATGTATATGTACAGGTCTGTAATGTAAAAACAAAAGTGCTGTTTCTATTTTCCCATTTTTAGTTATAATTTAGAATGGAAAGAACAAAGATAAATTTTTATCTGTAAATGGCTTATATATTTAGAAAAATATATGAAAGACTGCACATGTTGTATATTGAGTTAACAGATATTTATGAGAATTAGGCAAGATAATGTACTGTACATAAATAATAGCTAGTAAAAAGAATGGCGATTTAGTCATTGAAAAAGAATAGATTATATAAAAAAATGTGAATATCAAAGAAAAATATTGATAGTATACGATTATGTACAAGTTAAGTATAAAAAAGTATACCCTATGCGGTATAAATGCATGGACATATTCGCCATGCCAGAATCCTCGCCTTATTAGGAGGTCTCATCTCGCTAGTGAAAGCTACGAGGCAGGAAAGCTTACGGACAGGAAGTCTCGATTAACTATATAAGAACTTCCGGTCCAGACCGGAAGTCACGTTATTTCAATTCAAAAATTTTCTCCTGAACTGAGTTAGATGGATGACAGGCATGACTCCATTGTTAACAGGAAAAGTATGATGTACAGGGGCAAGTCACTACTAAAATTGAGAGCATTGTGATGAAAAATTGCAGCCTAGCATTATGATGATATCACAATAAATAATTGCTCTTTACTAATATTTTTATTTTACACTTGTATTTATAAAATGCTTCTATAAAAATTGGGTCAGAGGCCTAAAAAGTGTTTAAAACGTCCTTGAATATAGCACCGTATGGTATTGTACAGGCTAATTTTTTTCAAAGGACTAAATATGTAGTCTACTACATAGTGACGTACAGTACAGTATATACAAATAATTTGTGCAAAATGTACATGGTTATATTCTGTGTAATTTCTATACAATGCATTTATTCAGACGATAAATATGCAACTGAAAGAATGAATTTATAATCATATATAGGTTATATATATATGTTTGTGTGTACTGTACAATAATACATGTATTTATTATTTGTATGAAAAGTTACATATAATATATTTTAGAAATGTAAATAAATTTAGCATTGTATACATAAAACACCTTATGTTTGTTGTCGTTATAGAATTTCAATAAAGCTAAAACTATCCACACGAAAAGAGAGAAACGTGTATTGCTATTAAACTGAGAGAAACTGTTTTTTTCTTAAGTTCTGTTAACAAAATAATATATAAATGTAAATAAAAATTGTTCAAAAAACTATTTTACAGCTAAAAATATACAGATTTTAGTAAAAGTATTGTTCTGTACTTAAAAAGATATTTGAATGCTTAGAATATATTTACATAATTTTATTTTTACTTTATAACAATAAAAAAATAAATTTCTTTACGTATTTTTAAAAATCGATCGAATGTAAGTGATGTAAGTGACGATGCGTACGTAACTGAATTGTCTAGATAATGTTTTTAGGTCGGAGCTGACTTGCATTACTTTTTCAATATCCTCTCTTAATGTTTCTGTTTTATTTATTTATTTAAATTTCCAAAGAAAAAATTTTTATCTTTTCTCTTTATCATGATAAAGATGTTTATGTTATATAGATGTTATCTTATTTTATTTTATTTTTTGAGGAATATATATGAGAAAATTATTATGCGCATGAAAGAATGTGATGTAAACAAATTGGATTGTACACATGTTCATATTATAAATTTTAATATTGGTTTTATGCTAAGTTGGTTTAATTCGATTATCCATTAAAGTAAGAAGTATAAAAAAAAAGTTTATATCAAGAATTTTAAATTATATTTTTGAGAGAATTTTATTAAATTTAAATTTTTCAACATTTTATCTTTTAGTATTTTGTCATTTTTTGTTTATTTATAAAAATATTACTGTTATTAATTTTTATATAAATTATCTAACAATTTAATTTGAATTTTTTAATTAGAAATTATTAAGTAAAAATAATATTATCTAAAAATTCTATCGAAAAAAGGAGCTAAACTTACAAAAATAGAAATCGATACGTCATTGAAAGGTACTAGAAAATAATTAAACTCGCTCAGAAGGAAAAGTAATTTATGAAAAAAGGGCCTCTGCATGATTAAAGAAAGACGAAACTGTATTAAAAATTATTAGATATTAATAAAAATAAAGAAAAATAATCAAAGGTACGCCTATATTAAAATATGAATTAAAAAAGAAATAAAAACAGCATAAAAATATTAAAATTTTTTTAAAAAAGATCTAAATTTATATCTAAAAAAGTAAAGCTTAAAAAAAAGAATTTCTAAAAGCAGAAATTCCTCTTAGAAGTACGAATTAAACGTGATTAAAATAACAGAATTGCATAAAAAATAAATATTATTTTAGAAAAAAAAAGCGAAAATTACTATAATAAAAGTTTAAACTAAACGTTTAAAAAAAGAAAAGAAAAAATAATCTCACTTCACTGAAGTAAGTTTGCACCGTGTGATCTTGATACATCCTTTTTTGACTTTTACAAACAGAATTAATCAACAGAACGCAGATGATTGCAATAAATAAATTAATCTTCATCCTGAAAGATATTTTAATTAATTCTTAATATATTTAACAATTTAATTAATTAATAATTTGCTCAAATTTAATTAGAATCACGCGCAAAAAATTAATAATAAATTCTTTCTTCACCCCCTTTAACAAACTCATTATTGTTATTGCTAAGTTATATCTGATCTCCCTTATCTAAGGAGAATTGATAGTACAGTAATTAAATTTTTCCAAAATATTGCAATAAGAATTTAAAAGAAGAAGAATTTAATCGGAAAAGAGGATGAGAAGATAACAGATATATTGTAAATATAATTAATTTCTATAATAATATTACTCCAATTTGATCGATAATATTATAATGCCATTAAACATAATATAAAAGATCTGAAAGTATAAAATTAAATATTTATTTAATAGAAATAGCTTTAAATATTTACCTGGCAATAATCGATATAGCAAGTAATTTTCTAGGAACGGCAGGAAGAAAACAAAAAGAAAAAAGAAAGTTGAAGATGTTGATGATAGACGGTCGCAGTTAAAAATCCTTTCAGTACTTGTCACGTGGTTACGTACAACTCATCGCATCTGAGAATATGTAAAGTATACAAATATTTATAAGTGATAAGTAAAAAGACAGTTTATAAAATAACATTTTATCGATTTATATAAAATTTTGGCACGTTTCCACCACTAAAATATATCAATATACGAGAAAATTAATTTTAAAGAAATTCTAAATGTTTTAAAATATCTTACCTTAACATAGAAGATATGATTCTTTTACGAGTTCTTCACGCAAACTGTCTGTGTGTGTAGCTTGGGTTTACGTACTGTGGTTAACGGCGCAGGTGCGTCACTTAACACGTGCTCACCTGCCATACGCTGCCTCAACTTACCTGGATAAAATTAGTATGTGGGACGAAAAACTATACTAATACAATTCTGAACATCTCTTATTGTTTATCACATGTCACTGATGTATAATTGATCATGTATGCTAATTATCTCAGCAAAAATTTTAGAATCATCTATCTAACTGTTCTGGAAAAAAATTTTTGAATTAAAATAACGTGACTTCCGGTCCAAACCGAAAGTTTATATATAATTAATCGGACCTCCGGCTCCTAAGCTTTCCCTTTTGATCTCGACTTTCATCTATCTAACTCCGTTCTTGAAATTAAAGAATATCAGACAGACAGACAGTGGGAATTGGGCCCAATTTTTAAATTGCAGCCCAATCATTTTAGTAACAACGTGTAAATCACGTGACATTTTCTGATTTTTATTAACACTTAAAGTTACGTATATGACTGTATATTAGAAAGATATTTTTTTTTTTATTAGTCATAAGAAGGTATAACGATATAGAGAGGAATATAAAAATTTGTATTACACGAAAATATTCCATTAATGTGTCGAAGAAATTCTTCTTCCAGTCTACAGGATAAACTATTTAAAAATACAGTACATTCTGTATATACAGATTTTCATCTATTGATGTTTATGCAACGAGCGCATGAAGCATTAAACATGACGAATCTTATACATTATCTAATGCATAAAAATCACAGGCTAGTCTTTAATTTTGCGACTTTTTACTAAATTTTATTAAATTTTCTATATATATTGCTCATAAAATGTTCCCAATGTAAAGCTATTTTAACGGAATTCGAGTTAAAATAAATTATTATAAAAAATGATTAGTCTACATTGTCTTTATGATAAATATTTAATAAAATCTGTAGAATAAATATAATTCTTGTTTCATATACTCTCGAAAATTCATAAAATATTCTCCTTTCTATATATTACCTGTCACAAAACATTAATGTTCTCTGTAAAAAACGGAGAACATTATATTTTAATGTTTTATGACAGCGATTCTGATCGACGATTTCTCGAATCTCTTATTAAATTAGAATAAAAATTTTTATAAATAAAAAATGTAATATCTTCTACTTAAATTAGTGGTATTATTTATTAATATTTAACTACAACATATATATTTAATTATTTAATTTAAACTAAATACCCTTATAAACATGTATATATAGCCTATATATATATATAGGTTATATATTTATTAAAATAATTAATTTTGTAAATAATCATTGTAAGTAGAAAAATCACTGAAATCGGATTAAATGAGGATATGAAAACAATTATAATAACGGATTTTAAAACATAGGCCTATATACTTTAATATAATTTTAAAATCATCATATTTAATTTAATTACAGCGTTTTCGGAGGAAAAATACCTGGGTATTATCTGTGTTTAAAAGACATTTGAACGGGTTGCGGATTATATATAGGCTAATTTTTGAATTCGATATTTTAAATAAAGATATAACTTAAAGAACGGAATGAGTGTTTATTTCGAACAAAATTCTGTAGAAAAGATGCATTAGTAACAATGCTTCGTTTCAGATAATATCAAAGAAAAGAATATTTATATCAGTTTGACAAATGAGATACAATATATTAGAAGAAAATGAATAAATGAAGCACTGTGATGAATCAAAGGCGAATAGAAGACTTTTCTGTGCTTGTATGCAGGAATAGAGAAGATAAGAGCTACCTTTTATGCTGTATCAGATATAGAAAGTGAACAGATTTACTTGAAAATAAAAAAAAGTAAAAATGGAATTGATCAGAATAAACACATTAAAGAAATCTATTCACTGATAGAAGTAAAATGTCGGGAACTAAGGAAGCGAATAGAAATCTTAAATCAGACCAATATAATATAAAATTTGTTAAATTACTAATTTAAATATCTTATTTTAGAATATAGAGAAATATCAAATACAGATTTTCTTAGATTTTTAAATATAAATAATACATTTTTAATATCTATAAATACATAAAATGATTTAGTTAATATTTAATACCGTTTCAATATATTATTTCTTAAATTCAAATGGGATTTAATTTAAAAATACTTATTATTCCTTTTCAACGTTATAAGAAATATTTTATAGTTTTGTAAATAATTGACAAACACTTGCAAAGAATATTAAGTAATATTTAACAAACTAAATGTCCGGAAATGGCAGAAAATAGACTTCAATATATGATGCCGTTCAGAATATTTATTATTTTCACTCATAACTTTTTATATTTTAATGACTTATAAAATTCTTCCAAATCAAAATTTTAATGTTCCGTTTTCAAATTTAAATTCCTTATAAAATTTCGAATATTCTAATGTCAAATATTATACTGTACACCACATTTAATAAAGGTAGAAACGTTATAAAATGTTGCTACTATAATAACATTATTGCATCACTTTCCAAATTCTTACACTAGAATATAATCGTTTTATTTTAGCACTAAATTCTTCACCCATTTCAAATGAATATCAAATGCACAGTATAAATGTTAAAAAATACTTATTTTACTGTCTCTTTAAAGCTTTCTCTCAGATAATTGCGATAATCAAATAAAATGAAGTTTTACAACTATAAAATTTATTACTTAAATAACAATTCCTCTTTCTTTATTGTTTTATGTGAAAGTTCTAAAGCAAAAGTTTCTTGATATTTACGTTATACAAATTCTAAACCATAAAATGTTCTTATATTATTTAAAATAAATCCAATTGTAAATCACCAGAAGGAACTGAAGTAAAACCAATAAGTGAGAAACCAGATTTTCGATCATGCAATCCATTTTCAACTCTAAGTAATATATTATCTGGTTTAACTTCATCAATCTTTGTTCCTTCAACAACATATTCTTTATTTACCTTCATTTCTTTATCTAAATATTCTTATTCACTCCGTTTTTATGTGTAGAATTTGTAATATTATCTCTTTCTATAGAATCACAAGCACCATTAACTAATTGAAGAATTTTACACCCTACCTCCTGAAGAATTTTACACCCTAACTCCCTTATCCATTTTTTTTTTAAAGAAAAATATCAATGATTTAAATTTAAATTATCGACAATTTTCTCCAATTTAATCCTATCTGTAAATTTAATTTGATTAATTTTTAAAAGTTATTTATATTTTCTTTAATAAAATTTTAAAAAATAATTATCGAAATCGCAGATTAAATTATCTTTAATTTCCAATTTAAAAAAAAATTTCCTGCATATTGTTTAGTTTTATAGTATCTTTATTATCTAAAATAAGTGTTTCAAACCTCTTTTGCTTGTCGATTCTTTTCTAAAATTAGATTTAATTCTTCTTTCTATATTAATGTAGAGATAAATTATAAATAGGATGAATAAAAACTCAAGTAAGAACTAATAATTTCTAGATTTAAACAACAATTTTATATCATTCCAAGTTCGTTTGTAATTCTCTGAGGCTAAGGTAGCAAAATAGTGATTCTTCTCTGATACACGACTACTCTAGCAATTTATTGACCTTCAAGTAAATTAATTGACTCCCTGGAGTTCATTCACTATTATATTGGACATCTTTGATCTATAACACATCTAACAATGTTTTAAATCATTATTTAGTGTATATCATAATTTTTGTTATCAGCTGATATAAATCCAAAATTTGCAAGATCCTGGCTCCTACAATTGAAGTTTGTTATAATTTAAAAAAACATCCATTTATTACTTTAAAAGTTATTTTAATATTTGGAGTTCATTTTTGGTCTTTTTTCCTTAATTATGCAAGAAAACACCAAAATACGTAAACATTCTATTAGAATCTATCAATTCGGACACTATTCAAAGCTTTTAGCATAAACAATTCTAAATTGAAAACAATATTCTATAATTCTAATAGCTTCCTATCGATTAAATTTCATAATTAATATCATTAAACTGGATTCTATAAACATATAACTCTCTTCCTTAAACGTTATTCCATAATCACCTGATAAGATTTTTTGACTGCTAATTCCAAAATAGCATACTAACTGAATATAAATTTAAAAAAATAATAAAATTATTCCTTATCAACATATTGATAAATTACAAAGCAAAACTTCTCTGATATGCAAATTAATGAAAAAACTAAGATCTAGTTCCTAAAAATGAATTGTTGCGCTTTTAGTCCCTACTACTATAACTCGTGTACTTCTTTTATATTCTTGATATTAATTGGCAATTCATTATGATATGTCTAAATATATCCTAATTATTGCTTTTGCTGTTTCTATTCTCTCTCTTTTCCTCATTATGCAACCTAAAACCTCTGAGTATGTTCTTACGCTTCGCTATGTATCGTTTCATATCTTCACAAAAGATTCTTAAAACGTAATTAATTCTCTCTACAAAATAATAAATTATAAAGATGTTAAGACATTGAATTATTAACAAAGATATATCAAAAACAAATACTAAATACAGTAAGACCCCGCTTAACGCTGATTCGATATAACGCAGTCTGCTCGAAACCTAAAAAAACGCTCGAAATTTTCGAAGATTCAAATTATCGCGGCATTTCATTGATTCGTATATAATACGATTATTCCCAAACACGAACCAATCAGCAAAAGGTGGCAATTCGTCGTAGCGCTGTACTTTCCTTAAATCTATGTTTGTTTTGTACAATTTTGGAAAAAAATACATCATGGATGCCATAGGCAATATCGACTTCTCTTGGAAAGAATTAACTGATAAATGCATGAACGGAGTGTGGAAGAAGTTATGGCTGGAGGTATCCAAGAATTCTCAACGAGAAGAGCCTATCGCTGTATTGTTAGGTTGACCAAATTGTCAACCTAATCAATACAGTAGGACTAGGATATGAAGACGAGCAGGATATTGAGGAGTTACTGCAGGTTTCTGGTGAGAGCCTTGCCAACGACGATCTTAAAGAACTGGCAGAACATGGAATTCGTGTAGAGCTGGAAAATAGAGATTCTGAAAACGAAGAACCCAAAGAATTTCTCTACAGATTTCCTTAGTAAAAGTTTGGTAACGATAACCGAAATCGTTGATCAAATTGTAGCGAATAATCCAGATTTTGAAAGGAGTGCAATAGCAAGACGAGGCATTTTGGATGCGATCGCCTGCTACCGACATCTGCTTAAGGAAAGAAAAAAGCGATAAATGAAACTGCACGACTTTATCGCAAAAAACAGAAGAGCCAGGACCTTCATCACAAAAAGTGA